CAGCTGTACCACGTGGAATCCCAAAATAAAATTTGTTGAAAGTAATAGCAAGGAAACACAACCTTTGTGTATAACTTAATGTAGGATTTCGAAATTGGCAATCTATTCCATAGAATGTAATGTCCTAATTATAATCTGCTTCTAGCAGACAGAGAATTTTCTGTGTGCGTGTATGCTTACATCTCCTTTTTAATGTGCGGGCAGTCTTGTTGAAAACAGTTGGGTAGCTGCTTGAGAGCATGTTGGATTCACCAGCAGTTGAATAGGGCAGTTCCAAAAAAAAGTTACGTTTAACTACACAAGTCAATGCCCTAACTCCATCACAGTGCCTCAAATTGATCTTTCTTTCATATGAACTGGTATAAACAAGCAGGCACGGTGTTGCCATTTATTTGTAGCTGGATGCACAGAGAACATTCATCACTTCACGCTGCAAGTGGATGATAGCGCAGCCAGTCTGGAGAAGGTGCGCCACATGCTCCTTAATTGCCCAGACCATGTCCCCTGTACGTGTGGGGAAGAATACAAGTCTGACAAGGAGCTCACCACAAGTAAGCCAGTCAGGCATATCTCTCTCTCTGTGTAATGATTACTCTGTATAAAGCGGTTGTGCGTGATGTTGTGTTATGTAGTGTTACATAGAATGTCATATGCCACGTCGAACTCCTGATTTTTCTATCTATATGCACAAGAAATATTTTATTATCGCACTGTGCAAGATGTCGGATTTGTTAGAAACATGATGGAATATACAAAAAGTTCTGTTTGCTATTTATTGCTGCCAATCGCAGCTAGGATATTGGTTAGAATTTTTAGATTTATTTGAATTTAAAACTTAATTATGTAAATAAAAAACCAAAGAATAGTTGCTATTAAGGTGCACAAATTACATGCATTTGTCCGACTTCCTTCAGCCACTGAGCAGTTTATGAAAAAAAAAAAAAATGTTCATTTACTGTAGTGTTAATAACTTATTGTGGAGGCTTGGTGGTTGCCACACACTGCTGCCGTTCCCGAGGTCACCGCATGCACTGAACCATGGTTGATCATAACCTACCAATCCTGCATTGCTTCAGGATGTTATGCCTAATGCGTCGATTGTCAAAGAAATTAGCAAGATAATTAACCAATAAATTTAAGTGGCCACATCATGTGCTACCATTTGATTGTGTTCTGAGGAACTGCCCATTTTCCAGAGAATCGATATGTCCTGGTGTCGCTGCATGGCTGTGGCCAATTGAGTCCTGGCTTGGTGCGAATGTTTCATGCACTGACAGAGCTCGAAGCTTTGGTGTGTATTGGGTGTTGCTACCACAAGGCTACTCAGCTCGATAGTAAGTGGTCACTTCAATTGTTTTTCAGGATTACACCTCGTTATGAAGATACTTATTTAGTCTATTCGGTGCTAGATTGTAATTATGCCATGCAGTTTATAACGAAAATAAATACAAAATTTGAAAAATGCACTGCAGAAATTTCATGAACAGCTGCTATGAAGTGTGGTGTTGCGTTATCAATATCAGAACATGATGGGCATCTGAGATTATTGCCTGCCTGACCGAATGTCGCAAGATGCTGCAAGCAAAGTTTCTCACGTTAAGGTTAAGAGTTAACTGCACCCATCTGCTTCTCTGTGGCACTTTGCTGCTCTATGATTATCTTATCCATGGTGGTATGAACTGGTGTAGGTGTAGGCATTGCTGCCTTAGAGCTTCTGCTTCCTTTGTGCTGTCTTGGCATACTTTATAGGGTATTATGTGTATTAAACTAGGGAGCGTAAGTCAGCGCTGCTAGTACTCATGACCGCTTGAGAATTCAAAGCCCAAAATGCAAGAAAATTCAGTTCTTGTCACATATTTCATTCCACAATTTTTATTTGATTGATTGTAATATCACTGTAACAGCCTATGCTTCACTTTTTTGCAGACTACTTCCCTCTGAGCCATGAGCTGGTCAGCTTAGGTGATCAGTGGCTTAGTCCCGATGCTAGATACCAGGGGCTACGCCTAGCCTGTCAAGAACTGCGAGACAGCTGGGCACCTGATCGGGAACCACGACACCTACTTTTTCGGGCGCTACTGGAAGTTGCGTGCCAAAAATGTACGTGCTGGGAATTTGTATTATGTAGTATAGTTGCAAGCAAATTAGTCCGACATGCTTTATACTAAACCCTGGTAATCTAACCACGCTCTATTGAGAGGGGTATAAAAAAAACTAACATACAACAAAGAAATGTGCATGGATTTCGGTATAGCATTGTGCTACAAATGACTGCACGTTTTTTTTTGTGTGTGTGAACTTTTGTCCACCTTGTAGACATCATGAGACACTGCCAACAGTGCAAGTTTCAAGTTTCTGCTGCACCTCAGCTTCTGAACTACAGGCATACTTTACTAATAACGCTGCACATTCCTAGGTTACAGAAACCTGCCCAAGTGGCGACATGGTATAATACAGTGAAAATTTCTCTAGTGAGAAATAGTGATGTTTTAAAGAAAATGCACAATTATTCAATCAAACTCTGCTTTTCCATCAAAAACAGTTTTATGCCCATAAGAGTTATTAAACTTTACAGATGGCCTTCCATGGAAGAAGTCACGGCGCCACATGGCCAGGCATTCGCAACTGTCCTCCTGGGATGCTTACCGGGAGCATGTCATGAAAGATGTGCACTGTCACACAAGTGAGCTACATTGAAATGACGTCTGATTGCAGAAGCATTGGGATAGTGCGACATTAACACTGAAATGCCCACTGCATCATATTTTATACATTGAGTATAATACTTCAATAAAGTTACTAAAAGCTACCACAGGTGTCCTGATGAGCAGCTATTGCAGATTGGACATGTTATGAAGAAGGTACTGTGATTTGCATACTATATTATAGTAATTATTTATTTGCAATTATTACTAATTACGTTAAGCTTCAAACAAAATTTTATTTGTTCCTGAAAAAAAAACTGTCCAAGAAGAGTAAAAACAGCATTTTCTCACAATTTTTCTGAAGGCATAACTGTTCATGGGCATTACACGGTTAACGCAGTCAGACCCATTTATAAGAGATTGATGTGATAGGCAAATGGGTACGAGACACATAAGTGTGCCTACCTTAAAATAGAAGTAGACAAAAACATGCGTACGTAGTACCCTGCTTTTAAGACACACCTTATATAAATGACGATTGCTTCCCAGAGCATGTCTTACAAACGGGTTCAACTGTCACTTGCTTAGAATAAAAATGTAGACTATTAGTACTATCCAGTGCAAATAAAAAAAAAATTCCCCGCAATAAATTTGATGGCTTCAAACAGTGCTTAAAACTTAAGGTGTTCTGAAGGATCTCAAAACATAACATTTATGATGTCCTATTGCACACATGGACAGTTAAGACTATAGTCGACTAGCTCAGATTCACCCAGACCCATTTAAGTCTGAGTGACCCATTAGTCCCTTTAATATTTTCACGAGTCTGAGTGAGTCCGTGTGAGTAATATTTGCTTCAGTCCGAGTCAGAGCCACTCAGGAAGAGGAAAACTTTGGAGAAACTGAAAGTAAACTGTAAGGGCAAAAAATATTTCAGGAACGAATCTGAGCGAACTCCACATTTTTTTTTTTGCTGACCTATGGCCCTATCTACACAACTTTAGCATTACTGACAGCTTTATCGTGGCTTTCATTTTTGCTCACATCTGCTCACATATATTTCAGAACACTAGCATTCATACGCTGTCTATATATTCATAAAAGCCTCAGCTACAGAAAGGGGAGAGGGGAGGACAAGGCGGTTTTTACCTTCCACCAGCAAAATCTCTCACAAAGAGGTTCTTGACAAAAATATCTTGCGAAAGTCATCTCTTTCAATGAAAATGTCTTTACTGAATTGTGACCATTGATAACTCGTACTTGAAGGTACGAGATCAATACATGCCAAGCAGAGCGCCATTTATGCAGGATATTGATGTTAAAGAGCATTGACACTATGGCCAAAAAAGTTATATGATAATGGACACATGAGTTGACTCACTCACATTCAGGTCAACCCAAAAGTCTGAGCAAGTCCAAGTGAGCAATATTTTGGTGAGGTCGAGTCCGAGCGACTCCGGTTGAGAAAAAATTTCAATGAATCTGGAACCGAATGAGTCTGGGTAAAGAAAATTTTGGCAAGTCTGAGTAAACTGCACAATTTTTGTTGACCTATGGTGAAGAAAAAGCAGTGTTTTGTAGAAGCTATTTTGTAGTCAACTAAAATGAACTGCATGTTTTACAGGTGACGAGCATGACAGTTGGTGTGGCGTCCTTGACCGATTGCACACCAGCCACCAGCACCAACTACCAGCAGTCCGTACACTCACGGTATGTTCTGGGTGACACACAAAGTCACATGTTTGTGCAAAAAGTAGCATTTCAGCATTTAGTAATTATAACTGTAGCTAAAGGCACCGCACTAATTTAGCTAACTAACGGTCAGTTGTAATATGCACCACAATTTTCCAATTCTTAATATATCTTGCCATTTTTATGAATTGTGCTTTATACTGAGACATGATACCTGTGACATTCAGGTATATTAGTACCCGGTACGAAAAAAAAAAAAGGGCTAACGTTAAAATTGAGTAGGCATGGTGCACCCACAAGTACACACGCAGCAGAGTTGTACTGACGAACACTCCAGATAGGTTAATTACATTTAGCTGTCTTAAAGAGAAGGATGGCAAGATTGAGTGCTGTATAACATGTCAACGTTTCTTGCTGTTGCATTCGAAATAAATGCAGATACCATTACAACTAGAATTGCCCATACTGCAAACCTTGAACAAAACTGTAAAGGGCACGTCTGACAGCCATCGCCTTTCCTTTGAAAGAGCTCAGCATGACCAGCAGAAGCAGCACTTGCTGTTGCCAATGGAACTTTCAAACAGTTCTCTCTGAAATCACATTGCTGCCAATATTAGCACGTAATAAGTGTACCTACATTGAATACTGGACATAATGAAGCCATTTAGATGTATGCATCTTTATTATAATGAGGCTAAGCAGTACTCTGCCAACTAAGTAACAAGCTTTCCTGTGTTCGGTGATGCACATGTTTTGACAATGGAGCATTTCCAGTTGCAACAATCACAGTTATTTTACAAGTTTTATAGGAAAGGCAGGTGGAATGAAGAGGACTTAGAGGATTTAAAAATATGGAACGCTCGGACATGGTACAGAGTATATGTAGTGATGAATGCAAAATGCATGCATGTTGGTGAAAAAAGGATAACCATTTGGTACTTACAACTATACAGCTACATGTAGGAACATAGCCATGCATGTGTGTGTACATTGCAGAAAAGTGTAAGCATTGTATGCTGCAATGCGAATAAAAAAATAAAAGAAAGAATGACACAGAAGCAGACTGTCACATTCAAAAATTTTCATTAAAAGTCATCTTGACTGAACAGCACCGACTTACGACAGCATGTACACACGTATGCCAGAACATAAATACTATGATCTAAAACATGAAAGGGAACAAGTCTTGGTGGGAGAGTTGAGGACAGGCCACAGTTCTTTCACTTGCGCTGGATGAATGCCTATGGACAGTTGCTGTGCACCACAGTGAAATCGCCAGGCATACAGCCAACGCGCACACCTACGTCGTCAAGAATCGCTCATAAAATCAGCCTATCACCGGATCAATTTTCATTATCAGCATTTGATGCATTCATAGTGTCCTGATGTACAACTTTGGGTCATGAACGGGTGGGATCAAGTGAAAAGCAAGAAAAGTTGCTGCAAATAGGGCAAGCAAACTCAGCGAACACAGTTTAGGAAGATGTCGGCCAAGCCTGCACATACACACATAGCACATCGAATTTCTCACTCTGAGCAACTCAGATTTACAAGATCACCGGAGACGGTTCTGCTAAAATACTGCCCTAATAAAATGCCTCTAATTCGAGCCTCCACCGACACCCCTAAAAGAACACTTGCCCAGACCAAACCTTCTACCTGTTTAACTTTTCAACATAGCTGCATGATGAGCCAGCTAACTTTTTATTAAAATCTATAGCCTCCAGGAAGATGGGCACAAAGACAGGAGTTCCTTCTGTCATCATCTTACATGACTGTATATCTATGTATATTGGTCCACCTGCTTTCCACTCGCACATCATTGAGGAGAAAGCTGGCTGAAAGGACATTAATAGTTTCACAACAGGCCAGGCAATGTGTCCCATGACAGTAGATGAAAAGATGTTATTTTTTCTTGAACTGTACAGAATTAAAATGTCACTTCAAAAGAACATCAAGGCAGTCAGGAAACTAAGAGCAGCTTAGCGGCAATCGAAAAGCATAAACATCAAGTATGTGTAAGATATCAGAACCAACAGGGACACCAAAATCGCCATACTCGTGCGATTGCTTGCCCCGAACGATGGGGAACAGGTCAGTTTTTTTTTTTTCTTTTCACGCATGCAGCTCCTCCGGCAGCTGCTGCAGCCTTGCTGGGAAGGTGTGGTGCTCGGTGACTGGGCGCGCTGGAGCGGGGCTCGACTGGTGGCTGCCTTCCCGTCAGCTGCCTCGTCACCACGCAACCTTGCCCTACTCCTGGCTCGCCAGCCTCCACCACATTAGGGTCCACCTAGGCTTTAGAACATACAGATAAATATACTTTTACCAAGGTTTCCTTTTTCATTTTACTTTGAGTTTGGTTTATGTCGTGCTAGCATTGCAGAACGAAAAAGGTATAATGCAATAAACTGTTCCATGGTGCCAAATATAGGTCAACCATCAACTAAGGATAACTGTACTTCGACACAAAGAAGTCTTTAAAATCGGCAGTTGGCTTCGTTTCATCGAAAATTCACTAAACTGAAATTCGACTTCTTTAAGCAAAGCATAGTCATCAGAGAGTTACTTCAGCACAGAGCAAGTGCCGGAACAATGCTTGAATAATATGGCATCACAAAAAAAAAATACATATTTTATTAACCACAGCTTGATCCTGCACCTGCAATTAAGTCCTCTTCACAGCAGCCATACGTCACATGAACCCTAAAGAAAAGCAGGTCCAACACATTGAGGCAATAGAGAGTACGCATTTGCAAAAACCGCTTGCAATTCAAAATATGTATTGCCTCAGTATTTCTTTAAGGCAGCACTGAAGTTTCATTACTTTGAAATCACGGATAAACGCTTCAGTTTGATGAGCTTCCAAATGCATTGTGTTCTATGGACATGAAGTTTTGAAAACGTGATATACTTCGCTAAATAGAGAGTTCTGCAATATATTGATGTTTGTTATATTGAGGTTGAACTACTACTACAGCATCTGATCTTCACCTGGAAAGCTAAACAGTGCAGCTTCGGAAGGGAAAGCTGCATCTTACGGGCCTACATCGAACTTCTCTGGAATGTCCCTCAAGTGTACTTTCAGTGTGTGTTTAAGGTGTATGGACGAAAGCCTTGGTGGACACGGAGTGCATCGTTTTCATGATTAGTGTCGACCTGTGCTCTCGGTTTGCGAAAAGTCAAGACGCCATATGGTCCTGCCTCTTCGTTGCGCTAATGGAGTTTATGTACGATCCTTCGGTGTTAGCACATTGCGGGTTTTTATTGAAGCCATTCTTCATCACATACAATTTATCATTCTGTCATCGTGTTGATAATGCTCTCATTTTGGGATGGGACTTCCTCTCTTCAGCTTCCGTGGTGATATCTTGCCGTCAGAGAGTGATTCACATGGCAGACACTGCAATTTCTTCAGATACTGCAACCCATAACCTCCGCTTTGTTACGGCTGCTGATTGCTCCATTCTTCCAGGTCATGAGCATATCCTGACACTGATATCCGATGCCATCATTAATAAGGATGGGTTCCTTGCACCGTCCGGACGTTACATATTGTCGCGACGTCAACACAGAGGTCGTACTTGAAGACGCTGAGAGAACAGCAGCGGGTCAATCTTTTTATTAACCGCGCGCGCGAGAGCGTTCCTCGTCTTTCTCGTTGTTGCGCTCCGCATAAAAGCGTGCAGATGCGCGTATGCGCTGTCGCCTTCGTCTTTTTCGCGGGACGCACGTGACATTTGCCTCCCTCCAAAAATGGCATCGTTCCGACGCGCAGCCAAGGCGCTGTACTTATAAAAACGCACATATGCACCGGCACCCACAGGACAAACGACAGTTAGCTGGAGAAGTAGGGTTTCATCCGCATGACATGCACGATTTCGGGTGAGCAGTTTCGGCGACTGGAACTGCAATCGCCGTCGGGAATAACTTCGTAGTTGATATCGATCAATCGTTGGGTGACTCGATATGGTCCGAAGTATCGTCGTAATAGCTTTTCTGAAAGTCCGCGTCGACGTATTGGGATCCAGACCCATACCTTGTCGCCTGGTTTGTAGGTTACCAATTTATGTCGTAGGTCGTACCATTTTGCATCTTTGTGTTGCTGGTGACAAATACGCACGCGGGCTAGCTGTCGGGCTTCTTCGGCGTGCTGACTAAATTCTTCGGCGACAGCGTGAGTGTCGTCACACTCGTGCGGCAGCATAGCGTGCAACGTTGTAGTGACTTCGCGCCCGTATATTAAACTAAACGGCGTCATTCCGGTAGTTTCCTGCCGGGCAGAATTATTGGCGAAGGTCACATAAGGCAAGATTTCGTCCCAGTTCTTGTGTTCTGTGTCGACATACATGCAGAGCATGTCTGCGAGGGTCTTATTAAGCCGCTCTGTTAGTCCGACTGTGGGTGGTACGCCGTTGTTCTCCGGTGAGCTGTACCACTGAGCCTGAGAACCGACTCCAAAAGTTCTGCCACGAACGCAGTTCCTCTATCTGTGATGAGAACTGTTGGAGCACCGTGCTGAAGGACGACGTTTTCTATGAAGAAATGAGCCGCTTCTGCTGCTGTGGCCCTCGGCATGGCTTTAGTTTCTGCGTAGCGAGACAAGTAATAGGTGGCGACAATGATCCATCTGTTCCTTGTGATAGAAGTTGGGAATGGGCCCAGGAAATCCATTTCAATTTGGGCGAATGGCTTTGCTGGTACTTGAACGGAATGTAATAAGCCTGCCGGCCTGCCGGGTGGTGCTTTGCGTCTTTGACAGTCGGCACATGTTCGGACGTGATGTTTCACAGCAGCAGGTAGGTTCAGCCAGTAGTAACTGTTTTGCAGACGGGACAATGTTCGAGTGTAACCGAGATGACCGGAGGTGACCTCATCATGGCAGGCTTCCAGAATTTCTTTTCGCAGTGATGCAGGGACGACGAGCAAGTATAGGCTGCCGGTGGGAAAAAAGTTTTTCTTGTATAGGACGTCGTTCCTTAAACAAAAAGATGGCACTCCCCTCGCAAAAACTCGTGGCACGTCTTCCCGTCGTCCTTCTAAGAAATCGATAAGCGAAAGCAGGTCAGGGTCACTGCGCTGCTCTTGTTAAATAGTGGCCGCGTTGATGACTCCCAAGAATGCGGCGTCCATAGACTCGTCATTGATAGCGGCAGGCTCGACGGGTGACCGCGAGAGACAGTCTGTGTCGGTGTGCTTCTTCCCTGACTTATAAATAATGGTCATATCAAACTCCTGAAGACGAAGGCTTCAGCGTGCTAAACGGCTAGATGGGTCTTTCAAGTTAGTGAGCCAGCAAAGCGAGTGGTGATCACTGACGACCTTGAATGAGCGGCCGTACAGATACGGTCGAAATTTGACAACCGCCCAAACCACGGCGAGGCACTCTTTCTCGGTAGTTGGGTAGTTCTCTTCCGTGCGAGAGAGAGCTCTGCTGGCATAGGCTATCACTTTCTCGGAGTTATCTTGCCATTGTATCAGTACGGCGCCCAGGCCTACATTGCTTGCGTCGGTGTGAAGTGCTGTTGGCGCTTCCTGGTCAAAGTGCGCAAGAACCGGAGGTGTTTGGAGTCGTTGGCGTAATTCGTTGAACGCTGTTTGTTCCTTTTCGCTCCAAAGAAAGGGGACATCCTCTCGTGTGAGCCGCGTCAGAGGTGCCGCAATAGATGAAAAGTTGACGATGAATCGTCGGTAATAAGCACAGAGGCCTAAGAAGCGTCTCACTGCTCTTTTGTCATGCGGTGCAGGAAACTTTGCGACAGCGTCGATTTTGCCCGGGTCAGGTCAACACCTTCGTGGCTGACCACGTGGCCTAAGAAGCAAAGTTCGCTGAAACCGAAATGGCACTTCTCTGGCTTTAAAGTCAGGCCAGCCGAACGTATAGCTTGTAGAACTGCGAATAATTGACTTAGGTGTTCCTCGAATGTAGCTGAGAAGACGACAACGTCGTCTAGATAGACCAAGCATGTCTGCCACTTCAGTCCTGATAGCACAGTGTCCATTAAACGCTGAAAAGTGGCTGGCGCTGAGCATAACCCGAATGGAATCACTTTGAATTCATAAAGACCGTCGGGCGTCACGAAAGCAGTTTTCTCACGGTCTCTCTCGTCGACCTCTATTTGCCAATAGCCACTTCGCAGGTCCATCGATGAGAAATAGCGTGCATGCCGCAGCCGATCAAGAGAGTCATCTATGCGTGGCAGTGGGTAGACGTATTCCTTCGTTACTTGGTTTAACTTGCGGTAATCTATACAGAAACGCAAGCTGCCGTCTTTATTTTTAACCAATACCACGGGGGATGCCCAGGGACTCTTGGAAGGCTGTATTACGTCATCTTGGAGCATCTTCTGAACTTGCTTTCGGATCTCCTCACGTTCTTTCGGAGCCACACAGTATGGGTTTTGACGGACCGGTCTCGTATTTTCTTCAACGATGATTCGGTGCTGGGTCAGTGGTGTTTGCTTGACTTTCGACGTGCACGAAAAACAATTTTTGAACTGGTGTACCAGCTCTAGTAGGCGCTGTTTATCCGAGGCTGACAGGGTTGAGCAAATGTTGACAGACAAAGGTGTCGAGGCTGGGATGGTCGCCTCGTCCGGTTGCAAAGCGAAGCAATCTCTGGCTTGGTCCATGTCGTCGTAGTAGGCAATCGCGGTGCCCTTCTGGATGTATCGACGCTCGTTGCTGAAGTTGGTGATGAGCACTTCTGCCCGCCCATCAATTAGTTCCAGAACGCCTCTAGCTATTGAAACACCTTGCGTAAGCAATAGCGTGTCTATTCGCTCCGCTATCACCTTATTACGGCACGGCCGTTCACATAACACCGACACAAGGCAGCAAGATCTTGGCAGGAGCATCACATTTTCGGCCACACGTAAACGTTGCAGTTGTTCTTCACAGGTGGCGTCGACGTAAGGATGGGCGGGAAAGGTGACGATACGTTTTGGAATGTTGATGACAGCACCGTATTCTCGCAGAAAATCTATACCCAAAATCAACTCTTTACAACAGTCCGGTAAAATGACAAAAGTGGCGACGAAGTTCGAACCATCGATTACGAGCCGAGCGGTGCATTTACCGGTTGGCGTCATTAGCTGCCCACCAGCACTCCTTATGCTCGGCCCACTCCACGGCGTCTTAACCTTCTTAAGGTGTTCGGCGAGCTCTTGTCGCATAATAGAGAAGTCAGCACCAGTGTCAACCAGTGCTGTTACGTGGTGTCCGTCTATAATAACGCTGAGGTCGGCACGTACAAATTAATTGGCATTAGTACTCGTGGTTGTCGTCGTCTTCGTCATCACCGTCGTCACGTCGTCTTTGTGTAGAGGCAAGGGGGTATTTTTGGCGTCTCGGCGATTGGCAACCTTGCCCCGGAGGTCGCGGCAGTTTCCCTGGCACGGGCTTGGGGAGCGGTTTCTGACGACGTCAGCGTATATTTGGCAATTCGGGGAATTCTGACTTCGTGCAGGTGAGGGAGACTGCCAGCGACGACTTGGTGAAGACGCTTGGTTGGTCGGCAGGTGATCAGCACCATAGTCACGAGGGTCTTCAGAATAAAAGGAAGCGGGCCGAGAAAAGTTTCCAAACCGGGCTTCTTGATGACGGCAGTAGCGCGAGGTGTGGCCTGGTTCGCCGCAGTGAAACCAAAAGGGTCGATGGTCGGCAGTGCACCACAAGTCGGTCTGACGTACTGGTGGTCGCCGCACAGGTTCCCGCTGCCACCACGGCAAGGTAACGGGCCGTGGCTGAAAGGATGCTTCTTCTGGGGCAGGCGGATGACGGCGGACGGCATCGGCATAGGTCAGTGGACGTGGTTCGGGTGGTGGCGCCGGTGATGGAAAGGCTTGCCGTAGTTACTGGCGCACGATTTCTCCAACAGAAGCAACTGGGGGATCGGCAGACGGAAGGCCAAGGGCCCGCAGCTCTTCTCGCAGGATTTGTCGAATCATTTGCCGTAAAGAGTTTTCGGAAACGGCAGCGTTTTGAGCGGCGGCACCAACAGGCGTTTGGTCGGGCAGGCGGTCAAAGTGGCGGCATCGTTGCCGGAGTGCCCGCTCGATGACAGTCGCCTCTTTGATGAATTCATCCACTGTTGTTGGCGGATTTCGTACAAGGCTGGCGAAAAGCGGTTCCTTAACTCCCCGTATCAGGTGACGAACTTTCCTTGCCTCGAACATGTCAGGGTCAGCGCGGCGAAATAGGCGGGCCATATCCTCAGCGAACATGGCGACGCTTTCGTTCGGATTTTGCATGCGGGCTTCAATCATCTGTTGTGCGAGATCCCGTCGGTCCGCACTCAGGAACGTCTCGAGAAGCTTTTGGCGGAAATTGTCCCCGGTTTGGAAAGTAGGCTTCCTGTTCACGTACCATGTGCGAGCGCTATTTTTCATTGCGAAGTAGGCACGGCCAAGTTTTTCTTGCACGCTCCAACGATTCACCACAGCGGTCCGCTCGAACTGGTCGAGCCAGTCCTTGACATCTTCATACGGTTCTCCACGGAAGACTTCGGGAACACGAGGAGTCTCAAAAGTTACCTGGTAAGGATGAGTCGTCTGGGCCGGAGGAAGATCCGCAGACGTTGCGGGGGCCGCCATGTTGGTAACAGGAGATGCCGTCAAGAGTTCTGGACTTAGGCCTAGTAGGCGCCGGCTGAGTCGGTGTACTGTAGTCGCAACAAAATGTTGAGGCTCCGGACTGGGTGTACGGTCCCGAACAACGCTTTCTTGCATCAGGTTGCAGGCCCCAGCACCTCCACCAGTGTCGCGACGTCAACACAGAGGTCGTACTTGAATACGCTGAGAAAACAGCAGCGGGTCGGTCTTTTTAACTGCGCGCGCGAGAGCGTTGCTCGTCTTTCTCGTTGTTGCGCTCTGCATAAAAGCATGCAGATGCGCGTATGCGCTGTAGCCTTCGTCTGTTTCGCGGTACGCACGTGACAATATCAGGCCTTACCATTGCTCCTGGCCTGCTGCAGTTCCGTGATAGTAGAGAGTTGGTCGCAGCAGTCAACCCTACTTCTGCGGTTGCGCTGCCCCAAGGCACTTACTGTGACTTGCTTCACCGATACTGAACCACTTTCTCTCGTGCCGCTCCAGGCGGAACCACCATGTTTAGCTACGATTTCCAATGATGACGATGCTACATCGAGTACTTTACCGGCCGCAATGAACACTAATCTTTCAGAATTGCAAAAATAAGCACATTTAACTCTACTTCGAAATCACAGCATTTCCTATGATGTCCGTTCCAAGATCTTGGGTCGTACTTCCATAGAAGTGCATGGCATCGAGACTCAAGGCAACACAATTGTGCACCACCGCCCCTATTGTGTTTCTTCTTCTGAGCAAAAGATAATTGAAGACAATGTCACTGACATGCTCAAACGAGATATCATTCGGCCATAATCCAGCTCTTGGTCATCACCTGTAGTGTTGGTTCGCAAGAAGAATTGTTCAGTGCAATTCTGCATTGATTATCGGGCACCTAGTAAAATTACGCGCAAGGACATATATACCCAATGCCACTCATCGACGTCGCACTTGACTCTCTCCAGAACGCTGAATTCTTCTGAAGCCTTGACCTCCGATCTGGGTATTGGCAAATACTCATGCACGAAGCGGACAAGAGTAAAATGGCATTTGTAACACCAGATGGCCTGTATGCATTCAATGTCATGCCTTTTGGCTAATTTAACGCCCCTGCCACATTCGAACACATTATAGCCACGGTCCTTTGCAGTCTTATATGAAAGACCTGTCTTTGTTATCTAGGTGACATCGTCATACTTCCTACCACTTTTAGCGTTTGGACGAAGTTTTGTCGTGTATTTCCAACACTGGACTTGGCTAAACATGAAGAAATATCACTTCCCCAACACAAACATCAAGATGTTGGGCCACCTTGTCAGCAAAGATGGCGTTCCGCCTGATCCTGAAAAGATTGCTGCTGTGATAAGCTTCTATCGCCCAGAAACTCAAAAACATTCAGGCAGTTTTCTAAACCTGGCGTCCTACTTTCACCGCTTTATCCATCACTTCGCTACCATCGCCTTGCCACTGCACAAGCTTCCCACGTCAGGATCTGCCTTTACGTGGACAAACGACTGCGAGTGTGCTTTTCAAGCCCTCAAACACGCCCTAACATCCGACGCCGTCCTATGCCATTTTAATGAGAACGCACCCACTTGTTTACATTCCGACGCTAGTGCCCACGGGATCGGTGCAGTTTTTTTTTACAGCGGGATGGCACTTCACGAGAGAGTGTTGTCTGTTATGGAGCAGAACTACTCCATAACAGAGCAAGAATGTCTTGCTATCATTTGGGCGATTAAAAAATTTCGGCCATATCTTTATGGACGCCACTTCACAGTAATAACAAATTATGACGCTTTATGCTGGCAATCTTCACTGAGGAACTTCTCTGGTCGTCTGGGTTGCTTGGTACTCCGTCTGCAAGAATACAATTTTGACGTCGTTTGGTACTCCGTCTGCAAGAGTACAATTTCGACATCGTTTACAGGTCTGGCAAGAAAAATCAAGATGCAGATGCTGTCTCATGCTTCCCCCTGCCACTACCGCTGTCGGGCCCGTTAGGTTAATATTCGTCACGTGATCTTGACACTATGTCAACCCCTACGTTATCCCAACTAGCGGTTGCTGGCACGTTGGCTTAGAATAACTACACTCAGTTCACCTTGCGCCAGCGTGATGATTCATACCGCAAACGCATTATCGAACGCCTAAATGATAGGTCGCCTCCTCCTAATGCCAGATCACGTCGACAACTACGGCAATTTAAGATAGACAACAATGTGCTACACCGTTACGTTTACACCACTAATGAATACCACTGGATTCCAGTTCTTCCACATTCTCTGCATCAAAAAATTATAAAAGCCTTTCATGACAACCCATGGGCAGGCCACTTGGGATATCACAAAACACACAGCCGCATCAGGCAAACTTTCTTCTGGCCTGGCCTCTTTACCTTTGCGGCCAAGTAGATTGGGTCTTGCCTTTTGTGACAACAGCGGAAGCGACCAACTTTAAGTCCTGCTGACCTATTGCGGCCAATCCCATGTCCCGAGACACCTTTTGCCATCGTTGGGATAGATTTAGTCAAACCTTCCCTCATCACGCCAAGAGGTCCTCAATGAATAGTGACAACAGTCGATCACCTGGCACTGCACGCAGAGACTGCTCCTCTACGTAGAAGTTCTGCCTCAGATGTCGCCAATTTTCTTCTCAACGCCATTGTGTTATGTCATGGTGCAACTTGCGTCCTGTTGAGTGATCGTGGCAGGACCTTTCTGTTCGCAATCATTGGAGACCTCCTGCGAACTTATGGCACAGTGCACAAAACATCAGCCTACCCCCTCAAACTAATGGGTTAACAGAACGATTTCGTCGTATACTAACAGACATGCTATTGATGTATATTGGACCACACCCTGACAACTGGAACACAATTCTTCCTTTTGTGACATTCGCCCATAACACCGCTGTCCGACTAATCACTGGCAACTCTCCTTTCTACCTAGTGTATGACCGTGCACCAATATTCACTATCGACGTCTCTTTCTTGAATGTTCCAACTGACGCCTTGTCAACCATATTTGAGCACTTCATCTCAAGAGTTGAAGAATGTTGGCAAAGTGAGCGCCTCAACACAGAAGCCAGTCAGCAGGATTGAAAACATGACTAAGACAGCTCTCATCATGATGTTTCCTACAGTCCTGGAAATGAAATCTTGCTTTGGACGCTGACTCGTACTCCAGGATTGTGCGATAAATTGCAGTTCCGGTATATTGGGCCCTCTATAATTAGTGAACAAAATGTCACCAGCGAACTATCGCGTCATTCCCTTCTAGCTTTCTTCAGATCGTCATTGTCGTACTTCTGAGATTGTTCATGCTTCACGTCTGAAACAATTCATTCAACGTTCCGTGCCTGTCTAAGACACGGCCCGGCTGGCGGCTTGCAAGCGAGGGAGCGGAAGTTAGCGAGAGTATTATTCATGCACTTCATCCTCTTATCTGTATATACTCATCACCACCACTTAGGCCTGGGATGTGGGAAGCTGGCTCGGCCAATTAAAGAAGAGTCTTGCCTCCTCAACGTTGCTTTACAATATGTACATGAAAAATTAAACAAGAAATTTTAACTGTACACTGTCTGCCTCCCATTCCAACCAAGAAGACGAAGACTTTATGGAGGGCAGCTTAGTACCTCGTTTAGCTGTTACTCCCACTGGCCTGGGCCATGTAGGCATCCAGCTCAGCATCCAAGTGGCTTCTTGTGCGTGCCATGTATGCCTCCAGCTGCTGATCTAATTGACGACGGTCATTTTGGCCACCAGAATTTACACCGGTCGCTCCCTGCTGCTGCTGTTGCTGAGCCCGTCGCCTGCGATTTCGTGACCTGCACAAAATGCACCGTCATGTACACTTGCGTGTGTGAAGAAAATTGTTCACAATGGCATTCCTGTTGGCGCCATGAGGCAGCTATGACAGTAGTAATCAACAGTTGTAGGACAAGAGGCCTTGGGCTGCATTTACATAACTCACTATTTGCTACCTATAATAACGAAGGATAGTGCAAGAAATGTTCAGGAAGGGTATGATGCAGATTTTTTAAAATTAGGGGCAAGAAAAAAATTATATGTGAATCAACATTGTTGATTCAGTGGCCTGGTTAGTTCAGTATACTCAAAGCCTAGTGAATTTATTTCAGACTTCTTCATTTCGCTCATAATCTTCAAAAAAGTAAGAAAAAAAAATTATTTTATATGAACAATTAAAACACAAATGATTCACGAAATGTACTCACAGATACAGATGAATGCGAATAAGCATTTCAGTTGTTACTTCGCTTTGTCTGAAAAGCGCGCCCTTTTCGAAATGGAGGCTGTGCAACTATTGCAGTGACCTTTGTGCACCGAGCAACTGCAACAGAATCGTTTAAGCGAAATCCCAAGTCTAGCCAACACGTACGATCCTCCCCACTGCAAGTTAAGGGCGCGCGTTTGAGCGTACACTTGCTTGTTCTTTAGGCGGGCCAAAGTACGCGTGAGAGATGAGAGCCGTAGTGCGCTCACTGCGCCATCTTGCTGATAATGCTGAAAACACGATAGTCCCCTCTCCCCACTGAGATCCCTGCCAACAGCGGTGGTGGTAGATATAAATAGCTCGCCGTTTATAAATGTCCAAGGAGGTATTCCATGGTGGCTCAGTGGTTAACGCCTCGCATTCACGACGCGGAGGTCCCACGTTCGATTCTGCGGGCCGGAGTCCTTTTTTCTAGATTTTTTTTTTCTTTATTGTCTTTTCACATATATAGATACATATACATATACCGTGCTTGACATCGACACCGACGTCCACGCCGGTGGTGAAATCCAGCAGAGAGTGTCTATATAATTGCTATCACAATAAATAAAAACTGGTGAAATATGCTTGTCTCCAAACAGAGCTGTCTCCAAATAGGAACTTGAAGTATGCTGAACTCTATAAGGCACTTTATGTTCTGGAGACAAAGGAAAACACCATATTTTGTGGAATTCACTACAGATTTATCCCCAAATTTTGATTTTCTATATTTCCTATTTCATACAAGTTTTGAGTGTTCAAGAAAGTGCCCTGGCGTATCGTATTGCATTGTTGGGAAGTAACAGAGTTATTTTGAGCCTCTGTTGGCCTTTCTCCTTCACCTTCCTCTTCACTTCCTGCTTTACATTGTTTGTTGTACACAGTACAGTGGCTACTGTTTGAATTATGGATGTTGCAGAGCTTTTTTTTAACTTTGAGTAAATAAAGTCAGAGACCACTGCTAGCTCTTATATTTCATCCATCCATTACAACATGCCGTATCCAAAAACTGAATGTACGGATAGTACACTCTCTTGTAACCAATAAAATGCAGTAGTTGAACAACAGAAGAGTTAATTAAATAGAACCGTGCCATTGTATCCCGAAGGAGTATGGCCACTAGCGTGGGCTCGGTCCTACGTAGCGACAGGGCCATGTTCATCGTCGCCTCGCGTGACTAACGCCGCTGCACACACGCGCACTAGCACAGCCAAGGTGCTGAGCACAGCGTGGCAAGTACGCAGTGCTGCTCTTAAACAATTCGCAACAGTTTATTGCCTGCGGCAACACCAAAAACACTGTACAGCGCTGGCTGCAAAAGGCTTATCTACGCCACGGGCGAAAGTACAACACAAAGGGTGCCGCAAGCATGTCTCCATGAACAAAAGGGTTCACAGTGACACGCCGCTGAGGGAAACAGGCCCTCGCGGCTATGCTGCACACTCTCACGATCAGTGACCACAGGGCCCAATCAAGCGAGGCCAAACTACACTCGCGTTGGCTTTGAGAGGCATAGCTTGGCGTAGCAAGGCCATGCGCGAAAACACCGCACTGCTCTTTGGCCTAGCATTCGGAAGGGGCAATGAAAGGTAAGCGTTTGCTGTGGGCACAAGGCACCGTTGGCAAGTTCGAGCGAGCTCCAAGAACGAAGGGAGCCAACAAACGGGAAAAAAAAACGTGGGCTCACCCTTCGCTGTCCAGAAAGGATATCTCACTTCCACCTGGCGTGAGCACAAAATGTCTCTAGAGACTCGAGCGCAGCGCAACTGTCGACATCGGCTGCCGGTTGAGATGGGTTAACGTTATTCCCGCTCTCGCAGTGCGGACGGACCGCGGAGAAAGGGAGAGATATGTTAGGACATGAGAAAGGCAGAAATAGGCAACAAAGTCCGCACAATGGCGGCAGGCTAGCCTCTATTCCCACACCATGACTTTTTCCACTTGGCAACAATGTCCAGTAGGTTCACCTTTTTTTCGTTGACCACCTGTCCTAGAATTTGACCACCTGTCACTAGAATCTTCTGGCCTAATGAAGCCAATAGTACCAAGACTTACTTGTCTTTCCACTTGACAATGCATATTTTATTACTAAAAATTATTAAAAGCTATGAACCCTCTCCCCATCCACTTCACTGGACTTATTCTGACAGGTGTTGTGCAATTTGAGTCATCCTGTTTGTTGCTGCTAGATATCCGTTGAACGGTTTGCTACAAGATATTGACAAGGTCGTCGCTCCAAAGTTGAAACATGCCAACTACATAAAAGCGCGATGCAATGAGCAGCTGCATGAGACGTGGCACAGCAAACTCACAACCATAGATATACTCTGCAGAAACAGTACAATAAGTAGACTATTCACGGCACTTTTTGTGAAAAGGGAGCGGCACGAAAATTCCTTTTTGTCGTAGGTCTCCACCGAGTCCCATTGATGACTGAGGACTCGCCTTGGCGGTGACGTGTTTGCGTACGCTGTGCCGTTCAATATTTATTCTTTGCGGTGTACATAATCAATGAACTGTGCAAAGTTGTCGTACCCGACCATGCTGTTTAAATGAGCCTTAAGATAAGTACCCCAGACATGAATTTAAAATAATTTCGGGTTGTTGCTTTAAACAAAAACGTGGATGTCGAGAACCACAAAAAAAGTGATCTCAGTTACGGTATCGAGACGACGGCTTCGCAGTGACGTGTCAAGAGGGGCCTGATGTTACGGGAAGACCCCAACTCTCAAAATACCAGCTACAGCGGCCTGTTTGCTGTCAGTCGTATGCGGTTCGTAAACACCGATGAGTGAATCGTCACCCAGAGACCTTGACAGTGATTTCTGCGACTTAGGCTGCATGCAGGATGCAGAATTCACAAACCCCGCTACTTGGGTTTACTTGTGATGATGTCCATGCAGTGGGGCTGGCTTGCAGATACTTGGCGAAGAAATTTAAGATCGCATTACAATATTTTGTACGCACTGTCTGGCTCCAGTGTGTAGAGAGCGATGGACAGTGCACACCATGGGAACGAAAGATTTGCCTTTTGAGGTGCCTGAAAATCGTGTCAGTACTACTTTACTTAAGCCTTACTTACGTACGAGCGAATTTGGGCAATACATACAAGGTAGGTTCTTGAAATGCATTAATGGCAGACTTATGGCTATGGCTTGACTAAAGTCATAAGAATAAGTTCATTAAGTTAGGTTTCTAAAAACGGGGATAAGAAAAGTAAGGCTCTCCAAGCGAAAGATTCAGGTTGAAGGTAAAAAATACTTGTTTCAGGATGAGCTACACTAGTTCAAACGAACGCCCCCATATGGTGTCTCAGTTCAAGTGAGCAACAAATCACAGAAATGCCACTCATACTTGACGGATTCTATAAACGTTTGCAGCAGTGGGTTTGTGAGGCGAGGAACTTCTTTGATGAAGCCATTCGACGACAAATTCAAAAAGTGCTGCACGGCCCCTAAAGTTCAAGTTGGCAAAATAACTCTATCCTGTTTAACTACAATGCATCACTGGGCTAGCTGGAACATTTCCAAGGGTATTAACTGTACAAATTAAATCAAACCAGTGATATGTACAGAAGACGAGCACAGGGCACAAGATTTATTGCAATGTAGAATAAAAAAGAAACATAAAGGAGTGGCAGGGAGGTGAACTAGATTAATTCATTGGGTTAGCTATCACATACTTGGGAAGGGGAAAGGGCTGCGTGAAAAATATTTATGGGAGCACATAGTCTCAAACAGTGTGCATAAGCAGAGCAGGACACAATAACATGCACAACAATACACAAAATAACTTATAAACAATGTGCTGGCCCGTGGGGAGTCACTTTTTTCCAAGTGTATATTCTTCCAATTATTCACGTGTTACTGTTTTTGCGGTTCCTGTACACAAATAATCTACGCCTTATGTTGTACTCAAGAACACACGGACTCCAGCTTGGCTAAATACAGCTCTTTAGGTTTCCAAGAGCTTATTATGGGAAAAAGACTTGCACTCACCGACCAAACTGTCCACGAAGAGCCCCGTTGGCGCGCGGCTGCCTGTAGTAGGCCCTGGCTGCTCCGCGATCTACAAGGCAGACAAAACCGACTCTGGATAAAAACACTGTTAACAAACCCCTGCACCATGATACTATGCCTTAGCCCAGTGGTTCTCAATCGGGGTCCGCGAAGCCATTTCTATGATCTGCGAAACCCTCACCCGCATTTTTCTTTAAGGCGTTACTGTGCCACGTATTGATGAACTGTCCAAAATGAAGTGATGTAGCATGTTTGTTTGATGCTTTTGGTAGCAATAAAAGACACCTGTTTCATGCTCCAGTTGTGTTAACTTACCTACGTACCCCCTCTCCCTCCCCTTCGCTGCAAGGGTTCCTCCATCACTTCCAGTCAGTCCGTAAGGGGTCCCCGACACATCCATGGCTGAGAACCACTGTCTTAGCGAATGCCTACTCTACTTTATCAATGCCAGACAGATGCGCCCGATCCAGTCATTCACCACCCTCTCCTTTTGCCCTTTCCTGCTGCTCATCAGTGACTTCGAATTAACGAGGTTTTACTGCTATGTTGCAAGGCTATACCACCTTGACAGCTCGTGATGAGCAATACAGGGGTACACAATATAAAAACGTCTGCTGAAGGTGTAACAATGCTTTGTACACAGACACAGAGTACTTGACATAGTCACCAATTAATCTAGCACATTCATTGTCAAGTTTAGTCTAGGCTATATATCACATCTTCAGATAATGTGCATCAGCTCTATTTAATCAACAGATACCACAGGTTGAGACCTGTTCTACAAAGTATTGGTTAGTTCCATATGTTAACCATATAAAATGAACCAAAGCTACTGCCGTAGCAGGAAAAATATGAAAGAATTCAATCATCAAGTGCGAAGTAATGTTGTGTTCTCACCCCAATAAAACCTCAATCTCTGCTTTGAGAAGATAGCTACAGGAATAAGTAAAACAGAAAGTAAAGCTACAAGGAGCATTTAGTCAAATTAGAAATATACATTTAAGGCCAACTACAAAGAAATTTCATGTTGGCTAAATTCATTATGCAATATGAATCAATCTCATCTTTCCAAATCATTACTAGGTCAAATCGTCACTCCACCTACATTACCACTGGGATCCCCTAGTTCACGGATGTTAATACAGGAATAAAATTGAGTAAAAAAAATATGTTACACAATTTCACCATTTTAAGGCAGCTGCAGGACCGCATTTCCTGTCTGGACTTCTCTCGGTCCATGGCTCAAGGCCACTGACAAATGATGGGCTGTCTGTCAGCTGAATGGACTAACAACAGTGGACTCACTCCTGCGCGACTGTCCGGCACGAGTTCCATTGACTTGAAGTGGCCTCAATCCCAGCCTAGAGCGAAGTAACATCCCAGCTGGGTGGAATGGCCGCAGCCCAAGGCGTGCCTTCACTCCACCAGACAGCGGGCCAAGACGTTGGCGCAGGCTGCGCTGCAGGACCCAGCCACCCCCAAGGGGGTTCATACTGCGTTCCATTGCCCCAATAGAAGCAGGGGGTACCATGTAGCCTCCACTCAGCACGGGGGGTGCCTGCGCATCACCAAACCCAAAAGCTCAGACTCACTGTGGTGGCTCCAAGCATGAAACAAGGAGAACAGCTGGCACAGTGATGGTACTCAGTACCCAAAACTACTGGCATCTTAGGCCGAGGTGCACTAGCATCGTGACGGTGGAATAAATGTGACGTCAAACACCGTCCGAGTATTATAGTTGCACAAACATTTTATAGTTGGTCGCTTTGGCGCACCAGCAAATGCCGGCTGTTGTCCAAGGATCCCGTCAGAGCCGAGAGTTGATAACAAAACCAAAATACATTCTCAGGTAAGGCAGCACAAACAACACACAAAGATGCACACTCGGCCATCACAGAATACAATACAACTTACGAGGCACTCCTACACACTCAAAACAATGGGCACAAACAACTCCCGCTACAATGCAATCTCAGACATTAACTATCCAATAACACCTAAATATTCGAATTTTCATAAAACGTACTCAGTCCTAAGTTTTGGGAACTAATCTTCAATGTTTCTCTTCCCCGAAACATTTACACTAAAGGCAAATTCCATCGGGAGAGCAGGAGCACTCAAAAGCATGCTAAAAGTGCTCTCTTAAGAGCCGGCCTGTTTCAGTGGTCGAACAGGTGCAGGTGCACTGTCCTCCAATGGTAGAGCGAGGGTGCTTTTGCTGCGCTGAGAGCAGCCAGGAGCAGTTGGTAGTGCTCTCGCCTGCAAAGCGGAGTAGGCGTAGTACAACGAGCCACGTGGCCCTTGAACGCAGTCTCTGAATTTTTTTTCAGCTGGCGAGTGCGGTGGCAATGGTAGCAACCATGTGTAGTTAGACACCACTGTTTTGTATAGGTGGCTACAATGACAGCTGGACATCTGCCGATTGCGTCGTTGCACAAACATACTAGGTATTCGATAATGAAGAGCATGTGGCCGATCGATTTCACGTGTATTTTGCTGCTACCCTACAGAGAATATGCCGCGGCTTGGAATGTATGACCACATGGCTTTCCCACTCATCACCCCCTTCACCTGCCCTCCAGGAGCACGCTGCATCTCGGTAGCAGGTTGAGTGGCCCTGCTCTCAGTGCTCTGCCTCCCACTTCTCACTGCCCTGCCCCTGTACTCCTGTTCTCTCCATAGAATTCGCCATAAATCGAGCACTGAGCACTGGTTGTTGTTCCGTTCATCGAAGGTTTCTCGTCCAGGAAACGCTCTTCAAAACTTTCCTGCTCGTGGTGTCTCCATTCGATTCTTCCAGATCGATTGACCCCCCCCTTCAACATCAAAAATTCTTCGCCGACATCACCATCTGCCACTCACTCACTGTCAATGCAGGACAGGCTTTTGCACACTGACAAAATCACACACTAACTTCCTCTCCACTCGCCACAGTATTCTCGAAACTTCTAGGTTTCTCCTGGGTGCGTAACGCAGCCAAAGCTAGAGAAAATGCGAGATCCTTCTCGCAGTTTCCACGCATTTTGGCGTGACTCTGCATTGTGTCACCCCTTTGATTTTGCTTGGCATTGGATCCCAGACTGTTGTTAATGGGCGGCAGCCGTTTTGAGGGGGAGAAGAGGTGCATGCGTGGCGTCTTTTGATTATTGCTTGTTTGTCGCACTAGCTTCTGTCAAATCACGTCGGCACCTGGTATTCACGCAGCCGTTAGAAATCGGAGGCGCGTTCTTTCTTGAGCACTTGTTTGTGAAACTGACTGACCAGAGAAGGAACAGCGCGTCACTTGTAACAATCTGGGCGGCACAAATTGAAATTTAGGTAATTTCCAGCATGCATCGCTTTACTTTACACAGCAAATGAAAGGCTAGTTTCGGTTCGGCTAACCTGAACGTCGAAGGGAGGAACGGCTGCTGTCGTACTTACAATCTGCAGTAAACAGTATGGCTGCTTCTTTCAGGGTGAAAATATGCAGGAGCCATGGAGCATCACTCTTAGAATGCGGAAACAGTTGTACTCACAGAAGGCGAATAGTCTTGCCTGAATAATTTTTCTAACACTAGTTTACAAATACGTTCAACCAAGCACAAAGTTGAAACACAATCACATAATATGTTTTATCTCTTCAGGCTTAACATAGCTGCTGCTGGTACCAAGATAGCTTGCATGACCGTGCGGGCTAGGTTGCACTAGAAGCCAAATTTTACAACCTACAAATGTGTTCCTGAAGTTTAATTTGTGATTTTTATACTTGCTTTATGCTGCTAGGAAGTGTGCATCTTATATAAACTCTAAAAGTGGCAGTTAAATGGCCATAAGCTATTCTAATCTCTTTTAATAAATAATTAGCTTCTGATACTATTCAATTTATACTGTATTCTGTCTCTAAATTACATTTTCACACAAAGCCATAGATATTGCGAGGCTAAGCTGAGTGTGTCAACATACCTTGCGAAGGCGCAGGGCGGCAAGCACGCTGGGCCGATTAGCCATCTGCTGTGCCAGGCGCACATTGCGCATTGACGCTTGTGGCACTGGAGGAATCTGGGGCACTGCAGCAGCTGCTGCCGCAGCCCGTAGCGCCTCTGCCTCGGCCTGCTGACGGTATGCTGTGAAGCTGCAAGAGAAACAAAGAACAATGCTGTCACCCAGAGAAACATAGCAATGCCTTTCAGGGACAGTTTAGACTGAAATGATGTTCTATAAAGACATTAATTATTTCTATGTATTTTATAGAGTAAGCTTCATTATTGGAATGCAAACAAATATGAACACACCATTTCAAAATTATTGAGCAGGCTTCACCTTCATGAGTAGAATGCGGTAGCGTAATTGGACCTTGTTCACATCTTCTCAATCATTGACCTGGCTTCGCTTCTCAGGTGTCACAGGAAAACAAACATCTGTGCATGCAAGCCTGTCCATTTCAAACTATGCTAGAATGCCTTCAGTGAGTACAGTTGCAATAGGCCCATAACACCACGAGTCTTTCTTTTGCGCATTTGCAAAGTACCCACTACAAGTACATAATATAACACACACACACCCGTGCAGCTACACATTTTCTTGATGGTGTTGCTGATAATGATGATTAATTATGCCCAAGTGCTTTGTAAATGCTGTGCCTTTAAACCAACCTCTTCTTGGGCTGGTCAGAAGTTCTGACACCTCATGCTATTCTACAAATCTGCCATGGAATATTAGATGCATTAAGGACACTACTTCCCACACTGCAAGACATTCCTATGTGTTTTTCTCCAAAACAATTTCGAGCACTCACAAGGCTTCGAGGTAGAACGCCACTCAGAAGTCCTGGATACGATTCCCACTCTGACATAAGGTAATTATTTCTGTAATTATTTCTATTTATTTGTATTTATTTCGAATTTTCATTTACAGACAATACCAGTAGTTGAGACACAACCGAAGACATCGTCACCAATGCCAAGACCGGAATTTCTTAACGCGTCACATTCAAATTTGCATGAAAACTCTAATACCATTGTGCTGCTGGAACGTGCCAGATTTTAGAGTGTCTTTTCTTGATATTGTTAGCCTGCCTGATTAAATACTATCCAAGTTTGTTTGTCAATAATTATAAAATCACTTTAAGTTTGAGTGTTTTCAGGGCTGGAATAGTGATTTCAAGACCTTGAAGGGCCTTGAATTACAGGGTTCATTTTTAAGGTTTCAATGGTTTCAAAAACCTGAATGCACTGTAAGTGAGTAAGTGGTAAGACAATGACAAGAAGTCACTATAGCGTATAGTAGTGCATGCTGGGATAAAAAGAGGAACATGAAATAGGAAAACATACAGAAGTGCTTTCATACTTGTGTATGTGCTTCTGTTTTGGGCCCACAATAGATCTACGGCTTTCGAATATAATTTATCCCATCTCAAGCTGTAAATGCGGATATCAAGAGTGGCTTGTGAAGCACCTTGCTCAACAATGAACCCAGGCATTCCTACTAAGCTTGTGCGAATAGTGATTTTGGCCAAATCGTTCCGAATCGGATTCAAACAGTATATATATTATAAAAAAATAGGCATATTTGTCATGGCCTAACAAACCTGCACAATATTTATAAAAAAATTTTAGACAAGGCCAAGGCAAATACAATTCTCTCGTTTCAAAGAAAGTAGAAACAACTTTGAATAGCAGTGGGATTTGACTTTCAGTAGAATGAAGTGATAAGATGTAAAAAATATGCAACACTTTAAAACTTACTACACTTAGAGCAGATAAGCCAGTATAACAAGGTTTTAAACTTAAGGAATGAAGTGATATGAGGGTAATATGTCCGTTTGGCCTTGACGTAGAGCTTGATGGCAGTGCGAATTTTTTTAGTAGTTGTTTTCACGGCTTAGCACACCTCCATTGCAGTGCAACCACCTTTACAGGCAGTTACACGCGGTTAGTTATTAGTTTATTTCAAATGCCCCGAAATTTTCAATAATTAAAATTCGAACTGAAGTAAAATCAATACTCAGAGTGAATACTGTAACATTCGTTTGAATATTCAATGCATTTGAATATTCGTAGGAGCCTAATTATTACGCAAAATAGGTGTGTGGGCACAGCTAGTCAAGACGCTCCATGCCACACTTTACCGAGAAAGGCAGTTACGTTACACAACTATTGTGATCCAAACTACATCGTGAATTTGTGGCTGTTTTTTTCGAGCACCGAGAGAAGCCCCACTTTGCCGTGTAGCTCGAACATGCCCAAGAAAGAGCCGCGCCTGCATAACGCACAACTCTGCATTTTCATCTGCTACCTTGGCTAGGCAAGACATCATGCAACCAGTGTGTGCTCATGTAGTTTCTTAATAACACCTACCCATTCAAGACTAAGTAACATAAAACACAGTACGTTGAAATAGCCATGCTGTCAGAGTGTGATTGTGGCACTTTCCTCATTCCTTAATACTTTTGTTTACTGTTACTCTAACCATTTGAGAGCGTAAAACATTCTTCCCTAAGCAAAACTACTAGAAGCTACAGATTCTAGCAGAAAGTTCATCCAGAATTCCTTCCCTCCCCCTTTTTAGATACAAAAAAACATATTGTTCACTTGAAACCCAGTGAAAGCACTGCCTCCAAAGTCACTGTCAAAAATGTCGACCAGCATCTGACAACTAACAAACTCAAGCGGTATCTTCATTCTCAATAATGTTGTGCATCTAACAAATGATACGAGCCCTCCAATTCACACTTTCTTTCAACCAGCATCTGAATAAGTTTGACACAATATAGGCATGTTGCAGGCATGGCCTCCACCGCATGGTGCTCTGAACAGACACATGGACAGATTGATATGTGGGGTTTAACGTCCCGAAACAGCCATATAATTATGAGAGACGCCGTAGTGGAGGACTCCGGAAATTTCGACCACCTGGGGTTCTTTAACGTGCACCCAATTCTGAGCACACGGGCCTACAACATTTCTGCCTCTATCGGAAATGCCAGCCGTCGCAGCCAGGATTTGATCCTGCGACCTGCGGGTCAGCAGTTGATTACTTTAGCCACTAGACCAGTGTGGCGGGGCCTCTGAACAGACGCATGGACAGATGTATGCTCATGGTTTACTACGTACATGTCCCCACTGCTGTATGATAATAAAAAGAGTATAATATAGAAAATATTTTCTTGAAAGGGAAAGGCTAGAAAACTCCAGAGGTAGCAAACGATACCTTCAATTGAAATGTCTAGAAACCAACTTCATTCACATATTCCCTTTCTATCCTTGCTATATGGGTCCGCACTAAGATGAGAAATACGACTGGAAATTATCATGGGTTAACAAGTAAAACAATTTGGGGCTATGGCACATACATGTTCAGTTGTCCTGTTCCAAAAAAGCAACATTGCTTCTGAGTGGACATAAACTTTCATGGCTCCTTCTGAATAACCCAAATTCACATTATGCTTTCAATTACAAGTTTATTTTCTTTTCTAGCTTTATTTGCTTAAAACAAATACAGTGCCACATACTTCCCATCTCTGTAGCCTGCTAAGCGCCAAAAAAAAAATATTGCCATACAATATAGAAAGATTTTATGAACCCCACTGCATAGAAATTCAGCATGCCTCTGCTGACGCTGCCGGCACTTTTTATAAATGCTGTCGACAGAGTGATGCTGGTGTGCGTATATAATATCAAAAGACAACATGCGTTCACTCTCGCATAGTCTTGCATTTGACAATTAACGTTTTTCTCATACATGTAGTGTTCTTCTCTCCTTCCCTTTTGCACGAGTATAGCGCTTCCCTGTGTTTGCTCCTATAACGTTTTTAATGCCTGTGTACAGATCTGCCGGTGATAATGGTAAAATCTAATGCACTTCCAGTCAAGGCCACTCTGTCGACAACGTGCTCCTTGGCTACCCACTGTGGTTGATTGTTTGCACAGCTCATCAGAGCACTAGGCATGATTGGGCTCGTATACTACATGCCCAGCACTTGCATTACAGGCTGCAGTTGGCGATTTACAAGCACGCACATCACAGCAACATGACGAACAACAACAAAGGTCATGGGCAGCTGCTTGCAGATGAACTGGAAGGCATAGGTCCTTGTTCAACCAATCACAGTACCACTTGAACATAGCTCGGCATACTCACTCATGACTACACTCACTCACACTCATTCATACTCATTCAAACATGGTGAGTGTGAGTATGAGTGAGTACTGATGAGTATGAGTAGGCGTGAGTAGAACGATAGTGAGTACTTATGAGTATGAGCAAGATTCAGTATGGACGTGAATGAGTACTTTCAGTGTGAGTAGAAGTGAGTATGAACGTGAGTGGGTGCTCATGGGTTTGAGTAGGAGTGAGTATGAACGTGAATAAGTATTCTGAGTATGAATGTGAGTGAGTACTCTGAGCGTAAGTAGAATTGAGTATGAACGTGAGTGAGTATTGTGAGTGTGAGTAAGAGTGAGTATGAACGTGAGTGAGTACTTTGAGTGCGAGTATAAGTGAGTATGAACGTGAGTACTCATGAGTGTGAGTAGATGTGAATTTGAACGTGAGTGAGTACTCATCAGTGTGAGTATCCGTGAGTATGAACGTGAGTGAGTATTCATCAGTGTGAGTAGGAATGAGTGAGAGCTTGTGAGTGTGAGTAGGAGTGAGTATGAAAATAAGTGAGTACTCTGAACGTGAGAAGGAGAGAGTATAAACGAGAGTGAGTACTCATCAGTGTGAGTAGGAATTTGAACATGAGTGAGTACTGATGAGTGTGAGTATTCGTTAGTGTGAACGTGAGTGAGTATTTATGAGTGTGATTAGGAGTGAGTGAGAGCTCTTGAAAGTGAGTAGGAGTAAGTACGAACGACGGTGAGTACTCATGAGTGTGAGTAGACTTGACTGCGAAGGTGAGTGAGTTGCTGTGAGTGTGAGTAGCAACGAATAGGAACATGAGCGAGTTACTATGAGTGTGATAAATATTTGTAACCATCGCAACGGCGTCCTCAATACTTTGGAAATAACGGGCACTATGGCATGCAAGCTTCCTGTACGTAAAAGCCTTCAGTTAGTTTGGAAACTGGGGGAGCCATCCTACATCAGATGGGAAGGGGCGAGGTGACCGCGCAAAACTCGAATTGAGGGTAGCCGTCCATTTTATTGTAATTTGAATTTTCTAGGCTGAATAACTTTGAACTGCCTGTCCCTATAGCTACCGTTCTTGCTGCACTTACCTCTTGCGCCTTCAGTCTATGCAACCCGCTGATAATACGTGTAAAACAACAAGGTCTTGAGAAGCCCTTTAACGAAAATCGCCGCGCGAGCCGGTTCAGAAAGAAGAAATGCACTGCGCAAACGACAAAAAAAAAAAAAGTTGAAATGGCCCGCAAGAGAAAGCACATTGTGCGCAGCGATTTTGCAGTTTATATCTCTGCATTGTCCCTGAAGTGAAGGTTGCCTTGAATGAAAACCTTAAGTGATTTCATGACCTCTGAAGCGCGAAGCTGCGTGCAAACTTCACCTTCTCAGTGCCCCATTAAGAAAGAAAAAAGGAAAGCTTGGAGGACGGTTGAACTCGTTAATTACCGTTTCATTCGGCTGTCCGCGATAACCCTGCGTACGCACACTGCCAATGAACGTTAACCGCAACCGATTGATTGATTTGTGGGGTTTAACGTCCCAAAACCACCATATGATTATGAGAGACGCCGTAGTGGAGGACTCCGGAAATTTTGACCACCTGGGGTTCTTTAACGTGCACCCAAATCTGAGCACACGGGCCTACGACATTTCCGCCTCCATTGGAAATGCAGCCGCTGCAGCCGGGATTTGAACCCGTGACCTGTGGGTCAGCAGCCGAGTACCTTGGCCACTAGACCACCGCGGCGGGGCAACCGCATCCGCAGATCTATAAATAAGGCCCCCTGCAAACGTCAGTGCCGGCACGGAGCCAACGAAGTCTCCGCGTGAGCACGACCCACAGATGAAGTAAAACATCTGATGCGCACAATTTCTCGAACGCAAAACTGCCGTACGCAACGCATTCCATCTGAAGGCGAGGCAGAGAGGGGAGGCGCCGTCTCGACGGTCGCGCCGGGCCACAGAACACCTACCAGTGGCTGGGCGGCCGGGGTAGCCGCGGCGCCGACGTGGCGGCGAGGTCCCGGCGCCCACCTGTCTCGCTAGTGCAATCAGAAGGGGCTAGGGGCAGTGGAACAAACGAAGCGGCCGAGCCGGATGGCATGGCAACGTCTTGAATTCTGGCGGGTAATCATAGCGGGGGCCGTGTAGTATACTGAAGCTGTTGAGAGTGTTTCTATTTCGCGCGCGTGCGTCGTAGCCTACGAAAGCGCGTTTTGAGTGCTTGTAACACATTACTGATTCTAAACGATGTCTCAGCGTCTCCTATGCGTCATGGCACACAAATGAATGTGAAGATGCGTCGTAATTGCGCTTAGTTATTGCCTGTTTGTGGAGCCTACCGACCATTAAAGAAAACGACAATTGTTCAGCTCGATTGTTTCTTGAGTAACCTGAGTACTCGTAACGCTACCTTAATGTTAATATTCATCATCGGCCTGACAACGTCCACTGCAGGACAAAGGCCTCTCCCATGATCCGCCACTCAACTCGCCCCTGTGCTTGCTGCTGCCATTATGTACGCCCGAACTTCCTAATCTCATCTGCCCACCTAACTTACTGTCTCCCCCTAACCCGTTTGCTTTCTCTGGAAATCCGGTCAGTTATGCTTAATGACCAGCTGTTATCCTGCCTACGCTCTACATGCCCGGCCCATGTCCATTTCTTCTTCTTGATTTCAACTATGATATACTTAAGCCCGGCTTGTTCCCTGATCCCCTCTGCTCTCCTCTTGACTTTTAAGGTTACAACTACTATTTTCCTTTCCATCGCTCTCTGCGTCGTCCTCAATTTAAGTTGAACCCGCTTTGTAAGCCTCCCGGTTTCTGCTCAGTAGGTAAGTACCAGCAAGATGCACCTGTTATATACCTTCGTCTTGAGGGGATAGTGACAATCTACCAGCCATGAGCTGAGAATGCTTGCTGAATCTTCTCCACAACACTCTTATTCTTCTAGTTACTTCAGTCTCGTGGCTCGGCTCCGCAGGTACTACCTGTCCTAAGTAGACGTATACACCTTTTCCAACTTCAAGTGCACTTGCCACCTATCTCGAAGCGCTGTTTTCTTTTGAGATTCTTGTTCATTACTTTTGTTTTCTGCCGGTTATTTTGTAGATTCCAAGAGAGGGAAAGCGGCAAAAGGGGAGACAAAGTTTGGTGGGCAGATGAGATTAGGAAGTTTGCGGGTATGAAGTGGCAACAGCAAGCAAAGGACCGAGTTGACTGGCGGAACAGGGGAGAGGCCTTTGTCCTGCTGTGATGATGATGATGAGTATGTGATTGTAAAAGTACGTGGGTGAGTGCGCCTGAGTATGGGTAGGTGTAAGTATGAAGGTGAATTCTTATGTGTGTGCGGAGGTGAGTGAGGGCCTATGATCTTGAGCAGGCGTGAGTATGAAGGTGAGTGAGTAGCTATGAGTATTAATTGAGGTGCACAAAAAATTAAAGTACAAAAAGGAGACACCTTGTTAGGGATGGGACGAAGGACGCTGGAGGATGATGGCATCCGGATGGAGGAACTGAACGCTGACAAGAGGATACGGAAAACAAACAGGTTTATGTCACTATTTACACACATTTACAGAAAAGAAGGGATAGTGGTTTCACAAACCACGAGCGTGGTGGTTGAACGTTACATAGTTCAGAGCCCGATCTCCAGCACTCTGCCGCGTCGTTTTATGCCCTGTCGGGCTCCTCCTCTCAGAGTCGAACACCAATCATGCACACACAGGTGAGGGGGGCGAGCATGCACGGTCCACGTGAACACTGCACTGTGGTGGCGCCAGCAGGGCTTTTCCTCGTCGTGGGTGTGCCGCTACTCGAGAGTTCCCACGATCCTGGCAGCATACTTCAAAGGGTCCGCCGATTTTGTTCGCTCAATTAGCGGGGTGATTTGCGGTGGCCGTCGGTCTCCTCCAGGAAGATGCTGTCTTTGTTGGCCTCTCTCGAATGGTTAACGGCGTCTTGGTGACACGACGTCTCGTCCTCCGGCTAGCACGTACAATGCCTGACGAGCATAGGCAGTCGGCCGGTCGGCTTGGTGATTGGGGATCAAAAGGGAGCGCCGCTCCTCTGTCAGCTCCGGCGCCGGCCACGCCAGCCCTCCTGTCGCCCGACGAGTCGACGAGGCCATCAGTCACGCTGCTGCTCGAAGGGACGACCAAGGGTCTGCACTTGAAGGACGGGACTCGCCTCTGCCCGCCGCCTGGTCTGGATAATCACTCAAATACTTGACAACGTCCGTCAGACTGGGCGCCGAAGGGATTGAGAGACGAATCCCCAGGCCAAACCTAACAGCTCCTCCGCCGCCCGGAAAATCTCGGCTGGCCAGCGCTCCCAACCGCTGGGCATGAAGAGAATGGTTGGTGACGAGGACGATGGCCTGGCTTTTCTCTCTCCAGCTGCGAACTCGAAACCAACTCCCAAACCAGTTCACAATGATTGACAACAGCAAGGCGAACCACACAACACCATACCATGCCGAAGTCAAGCACATTGGACCCGCTTAAAACCCTCCAGGCTTCTCAAGAAACACAAACAAAAGAGAAACCTGTACGCTAAAATTTTGAGACAATTTTGTGCCGCCAAAGTTACAACAATCATGGACGTGGAGAAGCTTACCAAAAAATGGAACAAATTGCCGTGTGAGAAAAGCACACAAAGGCAAACACAATTTGGCCCCATATAACCGTAATTCCAATTTTACAAAACGCTTTCTCCTACCACCCGCATTACTAAGTTGTAACTGACATTTAATTTCATGCTAACTTCATGAAATACAACTACCTAAATTCCACGCAAATGCAGCCTGAACCCACGAAAGGTAATTGTGTGCATTCTTCATTCTCTAATACTTAACGTAGTCGTGAGTGCTTACTTGTAGGACGCCCTGACGCCAATGAAAACTTACTCGCAGCAGATCAAACTGCGTCCTATAAATCCTAGAAATGTATCTAGTCCCCAAATTTGGTGAATGCAGTTCCCTCAGCTAAAGCGATCATATGATCCTTATAAGCAATCACTAAAACAACAAAATGAAGTAAACCTGGTGTACTAACACGCTCATTTGCTGTTTCATGTCAGCCCATGTTTTTAAAGAACGCACATTGCTGTGCGCCCTAGCACGACATCATACTCTCATCCAAAGAGCGTCAGCACACCAATCGCACACCTAACCATAGGTCATATCGCTATAACCTAAAGCCACCACTCTTTAAAATTTAGCGGGCGTACCAAATCTTCAATTACCCATGACGCGCTCTTATAACAGAGAAAAACTCATTGCACGCATTCGGTTGACTGATGCGGGTAACTGCTTCCGCATAACACTTAACAGTTTAACTCGAGGCCCTTACAAAGTTTACAAGAAAGCATTGAAGTGAAAAACTAACAAAAACAAACTAGCCGGGGAGATGACAAAGGAATATTACTTTAAAACCAAAATTAAGCAAACAAACATGCTTCCCAGTAAATTCCTGTGTCACCTTCTCCAGCCTACAGCTGTCCCTCACCTCAATCGAACACGCGGCGGTCATGGTCTTGCCGGATTTCGAAAACTCCCGAGGCAACGTCGCGTCTGGGCCACAAGCTGAATGGCGCAGTCGCGCATCATTCGCGATTTCAGCAGGCTTCTGTCAGCCCGGCGGAGGGGATCCGAGCAACGCGGAAGAAAGAGTGGCGATGTCCACTTTGGGCTCACATCCGTGCGGCGTTTAGCTACTGTGGCTTTTCTTGTAGGACCCCTTCCATACCCCCGTCCGCTGAAAGCCTTAAACCTCTTCCCCGAATCGCGTCGCGAGGACCTTCGCTGTGGCCCCCCCGCTTCGCCGCTGGCGTCTTACTGTACGCCACAAGGGACCTTTCGTTGAACGGGCCGCTGGTTTACCATTCTTTCTTTCGCCCGGCTGATTGCTACGTCTGTCATCCCTTTGCCCTCTCGCGCGCGCACGCTTTACCTCTTTTACAGCGACGTCTGCGACAGACCTTTTCCCCACTACTAGGAAGTTCGCTTTGGGTGGCGTCTTTAGAGTTCAAGGGCACTTCTACACAGCCTTGAGTACCACTTCGGCGCTTCGATTTTCTAGCACTGTTGTCATGTCGGGCCGACTCACATGTGTTAACCCTGTACTCACGCGCGCCCTGCAACGTTCCCTGGATAGAGCAATGGGAAGACTGGCGCTCTACACGCGATTCTATTCGCGAAGAACCTGCTGTTCTTTTTCTTTTTGTCCGGCGGCCCGGACGCATGCAAAACGGCTTTAACGCCAATGCGGAGCTCTTAGTCCTACTTGTTACGCTAAAAGGTTTTGCGTCTTCTTTACCCGCGTAGTACCTTTTTTCTCTCGTGCGGCTTTCCGACGTCTCTTGCGTCTGCGCCGCTTCTTCGACTCGTTTCCGAGCCTATTATTTGCCTCTCAAACTCGCTCACACTCTCACTGCACTCGTCAGCTGTCGACGCCGCTCCGTCTAGATGATTTTCGAAAAAACCACCTATTTCACACTCTAGATCGCAGACAGCTTGACGCTCTTAGGAACAGTGCAGCTGCCTTCCCTCAAACTTTCTAGCTTGCATTGCTGGGAGCTACCTACAACCGCACTGTTCTTCTCACTCTCTGCTTTCGCTGCTTTTCCTGAGCTTTCTCCGGTGTTCTTGACGTCTTCGACCTCATTTGCAAGATCCACCGTTGCGACAAACACAGTTGAGGCCTGTACCAGCTTTTCTACAGCTATCCTAGCTGTTTCGCTAACAGTTGACTGGCACAGCACCTCGTCGCACTCGCTTTGGCCTTTGTCGGCCTCTCTACTCAACGCAGCATCATTCGCAGCGCTTAAACTCGATTCGTCTTTGAATCTGTTGCTCTTTTCACACGTGCTAGCCTTCTCTACAACTCTGGGCTGCACCTCCCACTTCTCGTGCGCTACACTTACGGATGACTGAATTTTCCGTCTCATTGCCTCGTTTTTCTGTTCCAATTGTTCGAGCACCAAGGCGCGTGCTCGATCACGCTCTTTTCTATCCCTTTCCTCCATTTCCTGTTTTTCCACAATTTCTACCGCGTTTTTAATATCCTCCTCACTGGCTTTTTGCGAGATCAGCATCCAAATC